CCCCAAAACCCCAAAACCCCAAAACCCCTATTCCAAATTCATTAATTGCAATTTTTGGTAAATGAACACAGCTACTAAAAAGGAAAAAATCTTTTTCTCGGAGAAAAGTAAGCTAATAAAGATCTCTTAGCGTGATGATCACGCATGAAGATTGAGCTATGTGGTTAACCTTTTCTAGACATAGTTATCATTGAAGAAATCAAAGGCAATTTGGCCATGCTTGGAAGTCCCTCAAAATATAAAACTAATCCAAGATTGGGCATGCACAGTGACAAGAGTAGCAGCTCCACTTTAGACACTACATTTAAGTAAGAAATAGGAGGAATCAAAAGAGATCACCTCGAGTGAAGATTTTTGAGCATCACCAATTCATTTTAAAAAAATTATCTATTTGAGAGATTTTAATATGCATAAAGCGAATAATACCTACTATTCTCTACCAATGTTGAATTGTAGACTTAAAGTCTTATAGGACCACTGACATTGGCTCAAGAGAACACAAGAAAAGTAAAATATCAAGCACTAGTGGTGTCTTTAATACTAAAACAAATAAGACCAGTAAAATATCACTTCACAAACCATCACTAAAGAAAGATAGGTAATTGATGCTCCCTTAAATATGATTTTGAATATTTTAAGCTAACTCATTTAGAAGCCCCATTGAGAGCAAATTGACCAAACCTACAGAATCATGGGTATATATTTTACAAATTTTAGGGGCCTAATGTCTTATAGAAAAATAAGATGAGCAGCAGGAGCCACATAAAGAAGAAAGGATATCACACCAACTCAAGTGTTTCTAAGAATCAGTTGGGTAAAAGAAAATTGTAAGTACCTAATCTATCAATTCTTTAAAACAGCTAGTGAACAGAATATTCATAATTATTTTTAGGCAGCTTTTAAAATATCAGAACAAATACATTCCCAAGACACCTGTTTGAGCTAATAGCAGAAAGAAATTGTTTAATAATACAACGGTATCTAAATCGTGAGAGTATCTTTTAGAATACAAAAGCAAACCTAAGCAAGAACAGTTTTAAACTTTCAAGACCTAAGAAGAGCATGTCTCCTATGAAGACTTCGATTAATCTTTGTGGGAAAGAAGTTCTTTCGAACAAGCTTATTCAAATAAAAGAAATCTTTGATAAGTTCCGCACAAGAGCTGAATCAGAAAGTCGCATCCATAAAAACTTGAAGGTAAGCTATGATTTGTATGGGAAAAATTATCGTAAATTTTAGACTATTGAAGAAGCTAGCCCTCAGCCACAAACAAATAGTAAGTATCTACTTCTGGGACTAGGAATGCTCAAAAGTACTCTCTGTCTTGCTGTTAAAAGGGAGCTTAGAGACTGCTTCATAGACCTAAAGAGCTCAGACAGCTAAAAAATCCACTTTGTGTTTTTCATTTTGCTAAGAAATATTCAACAAAAGTTAAGTATTAGGGGTTTTGGGGTTTTGGGGTTTTGGGGTTTTGGGG